CCATGCTAATATTTTGTTTAGATCTGAAAAAATAAAAAATCATACTTCTTGTTACAGTCCAATCAAACTTCACCGAAATTTTTCCTTGCAAAAAAAAGCTTCACCAAAATTTTATGAATTTCGGTAATTTCAGAGGTGACGAAAAAATCGTCATACTGAAAATGGAAACCATGGTAGACGTTACCAGTTCTAATGCATGGCACGTTATACTTTGATCTATTTTTATTTAAGTAGATTTTGCTTGACGGTTCCCAATGAGGATTTATTTCTTTGGGGGTATGGGGGTTTCCTCGGCGATTCTCAGGGCTCAAGTAATTCAGATTTTTGGTGGTTAATTCAATACAAAAGGGCATGTAGCCTAGTGGTTACAAGAACCTCGTTAGCACCTCAGGTCCTGGGTTTGACTCCCCGTGTGAGCAATTTTTTCAGGATTTAACGGCGTTGTGTTTTTTCTATGGTGACTTCGTCAATCTCAAGGATTTACCGGGCCAGTCTTCGTAGATGCTCATATGGATAGGGTCTGTGTGACCGTTTACAGGAGGTGAGTTTGTGGGTGCCTGAGTGGTTTTCGCAAAAAAAAAGGGTGTGTTTTTTTTTCTCCGATAAACTCCTTTATTAATACAAGACGGACAGAGTCCGGCCATAGTTGTCCGGCCATAGTTTCTAAAAAAATAGCTGCTAAAGGATATAAAAAGGAAGGAACATTATTGTACTTTTGCTTCCATCTCTTGAAGTTCTGTTGTCCATACTGATTTTGTTTGCGGTTACTAGCCATATCTAATCCATGTCATTGTTGAGTAATTCATGTTATCCTTAGACCAGGGTGCATGAATTATATTGTAAGGTTGATGAATCACCAAACTCGAGGACAAGAATGGATTGCTTAGCGGCTAGTATTTGTTGTCTGAATATAGGCATCACAGTAGATCGATGGAATATATTTGGACAACCTGAGAGTAGCATTCACACCTGAGAGTAGGGGTGTAAATGGATTGGATATGGACGGATATCACTAATATTTTATTTGTTTTCGTATTTCCATTCGGATTCAAATTTGAATACGGATAATGTTAGCTATGTCGGATATGATACGATTGAATATCGACATCATAAATATGCGATTTGTGTATTTAGATACGGATACGGTATCGGATATTGAATATCCAGACTTGAATACGGATAGATCTGAACTTCTCTAAACGGATTTGGTCTTAAATACGGTCGGAAAATATCCGTACCGTTTTCACCCCTACGTGAGAGGGTGGAAGCAGAAAAGATAGAAGGTACAGCAATGATAAAATTATGGAAGGAGGAGCAGGTAGAATGGTAGATTTACCTACCGTTTTATTGGCTTGATTGATGTCTTAGTTTATAGCTGAATCATTGTTTTTTTAGCCTGATGTGCTAAGACCAATTGTGCAACAATCAGTGATCGACCTATTCGGTATTAACAATAGCTAGTCTTTATCATGACCACGGCTTTTACCTGTGTGTTATTATAAAAGTTAGTAATTACCCATAAGTTATTAAAAAATTGAGTTCTCACAGGTGTCACTGCTCTGAACTCTTTTGTCCTTCACGCCACTTCCGTCAGATTTGACTATAACGGTGTCAAACCGCGAGCGTGAAAAGTCGAAAATACCCTTAGGTCTGAATATGCAATTAATTTTTTTGGAGTATCTTAATGACCTCAAATGAAAAAACTCAAAACTAGAAAGTTGTAGATCTTGACAATATCTACAATTGTTGTATAAAAATTATCTTCATTATTTTCGTACAAAAAAGATATGATTTGATATGATTAATATGTCTTAGAAAAGTCACATTTTTTGTACGGAATCAAATGAAGATAGTTTTTATATAAATATTATAGATCTCGACGAGATCTACAACTTTCTAGTTTTGAGTTTTTTTATTTGAGATCATTAAGATGCTAAAAAATTAATTGCATATTTAGACATGAGGGTATTTTTGACTTTTCACATCCGCAGTTTGACACCTTTAGAGTCAAATTTGACGGAAGTAGCGTGGAGAGTAAAGGAGTTAAGAGCAGTGGCACCTATGAAAACTCAACTTTTTTAATGGCTCGTGAGTAATTACTAACTTTTATAATGGCACACTGGTAAAAGTCTCATTTATAAAACTGAAACTGGTCACTTAAGTATAATTTTTTGGTACAGAGAAGTTGACGAGCTAATGTGTGCTTCCCTGCCTTTGCCCGTGTATTACTGGATCAGAATAATCAGATCTGTGGTTGACGGGCTGTTTGAATCTTGCTCTGGCAACTCTGCTCCACACGCCCTTGCTAATTTTAAGTTGGTGTAAGATCTCCGGTCTCCACTCCTCGTTCGTTGTGTCAACTTGTTAGCTATTAGCTATTTTCCTCTGTGTTCATGTATGTTGCATCTCGTCTGTAAGATCCCCAGTCTCCACTCCGCCCTTGATAATTTACCTACCATCTCTATAAACGAATTTGGAAATAAAAGCCATTTTCAGAGCGGGCCTCGACTCTATTAATTGAGGAAGCCCATTTGACCTATTTAGGAAAACCTAGTATATATAATCTCCACCAACCATTGGCCTGTTCATTTCTTCCCGTAACAGTCGCACACACGCCGCACCTCTCTCTCTATCTAGATCTTGACGCTGGAGCCCCTCCTCTTCCGGGCTAGGCTCCATTGCCATCTCTAGCCCTGCAGCGGCGCTCGCGTGGGGCTCACCACCTTCGCCGATGCCGTCCTCGCAACCTTGACATGAGGATCCGAGCATGGCATGGGAGGTAGGAGTACGGTCGAGCCAAAAGAGGTGTGGGGAGACGACCGTACATGTCGAGCAGGCGAGGGAGGGCAGCCAGCCCTAGGCTCAGGGAGACGGCGGCTGTGGTGAGTAGGCATCAAACACGGGCATGACTGAGGACCACTGGCCTTCGAGGTGAGCCTTATTCCTCTATCAATCTCTTACAGGGGGGTTGTAGCTGTTGATGGTCACTAAACCCAATATTTGACCATCAACATTCCACCAAAGTGAAGGTAAATCACATCACAGGTAGCAAATTACGTTTATAAATGACCTAGTTCCACTTGTATTGGAGAAAGGTGTATGCAGGGGCAACATAGTCAAAATATGGTGAGAATAAAGCTTCTAGAAGGGACTACACGTGGCAGGGCGGTCTGGGCCCACTTGGTGGGGCGACCCCACCAGGGTGTCGCTGACGCCCCATCTCCCCCTGCCACGTCACTAATCCATGGGGAAGCAGGGAAGCACACCCAGGAGCTCCCTCAGTCGTCGGTTGGAGTCAGTTGGATCCAAGGGTGTCGGATGGGCCTCACTTGGATTGGAGGGCCCACCGTCAGCAGCTCAGTGAGTCCACCGACCATCCAAGTGCCTTAGGACACATGCAACCGCCATCAGGAAGCAATCCAGAGCATTGGATGGAGAGGTAGAGGAGATCAAGGGTCGCCCGACGCCCGACGCCCTAAGCCATCACCCGACCCCACCTCTCCTCCACCAACCTCTCACTCCCCCTACAAGTACCCCCATAGCTCCTATACAATATAAAAGTGGGTGTTGAGCTATGGAGAAGGCATCCCTATCAAAGGCACCACCACTCCACTAAAGATCAAGCTCAATGAGGAGCTCTACGGTAGTAGCTAGGATAGTAGTGGGAATAGAATTAAGAGTGGAGCTCTGCTCGAAGCCCAAAAGAGTCTCTGGGTGTAGTATAACTCCTTTGTTCTTTTCCTCTTTTGTACCTTTCCTTATTTGTACACTTACCTTATCTGTAATATACTTCTACTTTGCTCAAGTACTTTATTCAAGTTTACTTACTTGGCTAAGTGTGCTTTGAAGCTTTGTTCTAAGCTTAGTCGAATAGTTGTCTATATTGTTTTGTACCTTGCACAGGCTCCACCATCAGGTTTGGGTGCTTTGATCTCATTTCAAAACAAACACCCAATTAGGCACTCCATTGCTTCTTGACCGTCAAACATAAATACTTAAATACATGTACAAGATTTAGGAAAACATGTTTCCAAGTCCATTCCTAACAGTTATCATATCAGTAATTTGTTCAATTATAATTCAATGGTTTATTACATCATTTATTAAGTAAACAACCTAAAGGAGGGGAATATATTATATCTTTTAGACTAAAGAATAAATATTTACCTCGATTAATGGTGCTAAAAATATATCGCGGCTAAAACAAATACAGTGTTTAATGAACATAAAATATCATTAATGGCAATAGCGGAACAATAAGCAGTAACTTAACGGTAAACCATATGAAAAGGTATAGCGAAGTTATAGCGAACTATTTAAAACCATATGTGAAATATGATCCTTCCTAATTTTTTAGGTATGAGATGTTGCGGTTCTTAGTTTAATTAATGGGGAGAAGAACCATTTTTTTATTGGAGAAATCATGAGATTAGAAGTTTAGAACACAGAGCTGTTCCTAGTCTTCTTGACGCCTGCAGCTTGTACGCGTGTTTGTGTTAGTTCAGCATCATGTTTGGTTGTACTTAGTCAAAACGGCTTTCTTTGAGTGTGAGAGCGTCTTTCTAGTTTTAACATAAGCCTACTTTATTAAAAGATAATCATCTCCACTCCACTCGCAACTAGTAGTACTAATCAGCACGGCAGCACACCAGCACCTTTTCTGCTTTTCCCATCGAAAGAACAGAGCTGCTTCCCTCCCACTCCCAGCCTCCCTTTTCCGGTGTGTTGCTGGATCAGATCAGTAGCTGACTGGCTGGATCAGATCGGTAGCCTCTCATCATCTTGCAGCACAGCACTCGTTCCACACTCCAGTCCACCGCTCCGCTGACCTCGCACTCGTCGTCGACGCCGGCTCCGGCAACTCTGTCTCTGTTCACCGCGCCCTTGATTTTTTTTATTTCGTGCAAGATCTCTAATCTCCGCTCTTCATTTTGCGTTAATAACTTGCTAGTAGCTAGGAGTGTTTCCCTCTGTGTTCCCGTATCTTGCATTCGGAACACATGAGAAAGCAAAACAATGGTTTGCTTGTTTCTCCTACTAGTTTCACTAATTTTATCTCGTCTTTCTGGTTCCAGTTTTCCGCTGATGTCTTTGTCAGTTATTTCCATAGGAGCAAGCTGGAGGCAAGGCTCCGGCGGCTCAAAGAAGCCTTCTATGATGCCGAGGACCTGCTGGACGAGCATGAGTACAACCTCCTCAAGCGCAAGGCCAAGAGTGGGAAGGATCCCTTGGTAGGGGAGGATGAAACCTCCTCCATTGCATCGACCATCCTAAAGCCACTTCGTGCCGCCAAGAGCAGGGCGCGCAACTTGCTCCCTGAGAACAAAAAGCTAATTAGCAAGATGAATGAGCTCAAGGCCATCCTGACGGAAGCAAAGGAACTTCGTGATCTTCTTAGCATACCACCTGGAAATACTACATGTTTAGGGTGGCCAGCCGTACCAACAACCATTGTTCCTCCGACCACAGTGACATCACTTTCCACTTCAAAGGTTTTCGGTCGCGACAGGGATCGCGATCGAATAGTAGATTTTCTTCTTGGCAAGACAACAGCTGACGAGGCAAGTTCAACTAGGTACTCGAGTTTAGCCATTGTTGGAGCGGGGGGTATGGGGAAGTCCACCTTAGCGCAGTATGTCTACAATGACAAGAGGATAGAAGAAGACTTTGATGTCAGGATGTGGGTCTGCATCTCACGCAAGCTTGATGTCCGTCGTCACACAAGGGAGATTATTGAGTCTGCAACAAATAGGGAGTGCCCATGTTTTGATAATCTTGATACTCTCCAGTGCAAATTACGTGACATACTGCAGAAGTCAGAGAAATTCCTACTTGTGTTGGATGATGTTTGGTTTGAAAAATCTGGCAGTGAGACAGAGTGGTTTCAACTCCTGGATCCATTAATCTCTAAACAGTCGGGAAGCAAAGTTTTGGTGACTTCTCGACGTGCAATGCTTCCGGCTGCTATTTGCTGTGAACAAGAACAAGTTATTCTTTTGGAAAACATGGAGGATGCCGATTTCTTGGCACTCTTCAAGCACCATGCTTTCTCAGGAGCAAAAATTGGAGACCAGGTTTTGCGTAGTAGGCTCAAACATACTGCAGAGGAGATTGCTAAAAGGCTTGGAATGTGTCCATTGGCAGCAAAAGTTTTGGGTTCCCGGTTGAGCTGAAAGAAAGATATTGTTGAATGGAATGCTGCTCTAAAGCTCAGGGATTTAAGTGAGCCCTTCACAGTTCTCTTGTGGAGTCACAAGAAGTTAGATCCACGTCTACAGAGGTGCTTCTTGTATTGCAGCTTATTTCCAAAAGGTCATAGATATAGACCTAATGATTTGGTTCATCTTTGGGTTGCAGAAGGCTTTGTTGGTTCGTGCAATTCGAGTAGGACATTGGAAGATGTTGGGATGGATTACTTCAATGATAAGGTCTCTGGATCTCTCTTCCAAATGGTTTCTGAAAGGCATGGTTCGTACTATGATTCGTACTATGTCATGCATGATATCCTTCATGATTTAGCAGAGTCACTCTCTAGAGAAGACTGCTTCAGATTGGAAGAAGATAATGTGAAAGAAATACCATGCACTGTTCGACATCTATCAATTCGTATTGAGAGCATTCAAAACCATAAGCAAATTATCCACAAGTTATATCATTTACGCACTATTATCTGCATTGATCCACTAACAGATGATGCAAGTGATATTTTTTATCAGATGGTGAACCTGAAGAAGTTACGTGTATTGTATTTGTCATTTTACAACAGTAGTAAGTTGCCTGAATCTATTGGTAGGCTGAAGCACCTTCGGTATTTGAACCTTATCAGAACGTTAATTTCTGAATTGCCTAGATCATTATGTACTCTTTACCACTTGCAGTTACTTCAGTTAAGCCCAATGGTGGAGAGGTTGCCTGACAAGCTTTGCAATTTAAGTAAGTTACGACATATGGGGGCGTTCAAGGAGTACCCACGTACCTTGGTTGAAAAATTATTCATGAAATTCCCAATATAGGCAAGCTAACTTCGCTACAACATATGCGTACCTTTTCTGTGCAAAAGAAGCAAGGATACGAGTTGTGGCAGCTGAAGGACTTGAATGAGCTTGGTGGCAGTTTAAGTGTAGAAAATCTTGAGAATGTTTCAGAAAAGGATGAAGCCTTAGAGTCCATGCTATATCAGAAGAATCGCCATAAAAAGTTGCGGCTTGCCTGGAGTAGCGAGAATGGAATGGATGCAGCAGATACTTTACATTTGGATATTCTAGAAGGTCTGAGACCGTCACCCCAACTTAGTCGCCTCACAATCGAAGGCTACAAATCTGGGACATATCCAAGGTGGTTACTTGAGCCATCCTATTTTGAAAATTTGGAAAGTTTTAAGCTTAACGGCTGCACTTTGTTAGAAGGCCTACCACCTAATACTGAGCTCCTACGGCATTGCTCTAGGCTGTGTCTAAAAATTGTTCCAAAGTTGAAGATATTACCTTGTATTCCAGCAATGCTTACAAAATTGTCAATTCAGAAGTGCCCACTGCTTATGTTTGTCTCCAAAAATGAGCTCGACTAGCATGATTTGAGGGGAAATATAATGAAGACAGAAGACCTGGCATCTAAACTTGCATCAATGTGGGAGGTCAATTCGGGATCAGATATTAGGGAAGTACTTTCAGAGGACTATTCATCCCTGAAGCAGTTGACAACGCAGATGGGTGATGATATATCACAACATCTTCAAATTATTGGAAGTGGCCTAGAGGAAGGAGGAGATATAATATTGGTTAAAGAAAATATCATCAAGGCATGGCTTTTCTTCCATGAGCAGAGGATAAGAGTCATTTATGACAGGACCATGGAGCTGCCACTGGTTCTACCATCAGGAATCTGTGAACTTCGTCTTTTTTCATGCAGTATTACAGATGGAGCTTTAGCTATTTGCCTTGGTGGCCTCACTTCACTGACAACCTTACACTTGGGTTATAATATGGCATTAACTGCACTTCCGTCAGAAGAGGTGTTTGAGCATTTGACAAAGCTTGACAATTTGACTGTAACAGGTTGTTGGTTTCTCAGATCACTGGGGGGCTTACGTGCTGCTCCATCTCTTTCCAGACTTTATTGTTATGATTGCCCTTCTTTAGATCTGGCACGTGGGGCAGAATTTATGCTGTTCAACCTTGGTGGTGTTACCAAAATTTTTCAAGATTCCCCGTCACATCGAATCTTTAGACGCATGCATGAAGCATTAAATATAAATAAAAAACAAAACTAATTACACAGTTTAGACGAAATTCACGAGACGAATCTTTTAAGCCTAATTAGATTATGATTGGACATTAATTGCCAAATAACAACGAAAGTGCTACAGTACCATTTCCCAAAAAAATCCGCCAACTAAACAAGGCCCTTGCTAAGGTCCTCAGCATATCTGGCTGCATTCTTGCAGCCGATTAATTCATTAATGGCTTGCCACACCTGAAATCTCTTAGCATTCATAGTTGCAGAAGCTCCCCATCCTTATCGATTGCCCACCTGACGTCCCTTGAAGGACTAAACCTATCTTATCTCCCCGATCTGTGCTCTCTTCAAGGCTTGTCTTCCTGGCAACTTCAACACCTAACTTTGATAGATGTTCCAAACCTCACTGCCAAGTGCATCTCACAGTTTCGTGTCCAGTATTATCTCTTCGTTAGTAGTTTCGTACTGCTCAACCAGATGCTCAAGGCTGAAGGGTTTATAGTCCCACCGAATCTTGGTCTTCGTTATTGCAAGGAGCCGTCAGCTTCATTTGGAGAATCTGCAAATCTCTTATCTGTCAAGCACCTGGACATTTGGGATTGCAAAATGGAGTCCCTGCCAGGAAATCTAAAATTTCTCTTCAGTCTGGAGAGTCTTTATATCAGCCATTGCCCCAACATAACATCTTTACCAGTTCTGCCATCCTCCCTCCAGCGCATAAATATAAAATGTTGTGACAACTTGAAGAAGAACTGCCGAGAGCCTGATGGAGAAAGCTGGCCACAGATTTCACACATCCTCTGGAAGCACTTCGATTAATATCGCCACTTGAAAGAAATGAAAGAAGGTATAGGTTCCACTGATTCATTCTCCAGCACAATGAATAAGGTTTCCAATATTTTACTCCAACGCAGACACCTCGTGGTCACCCCAACGCAGCTCCCTCATCTCTGCAGACTCACCACCCAGCTCAAGTCGATCAGAAGCCGATCTGTTGGTGATGCCGTCCCCTCGGTTCTCTGTTTGGAGATCCTCTACTGTCCACGGTTGGGACTTGCGGGGAACGCAGGTGGTTCCATTTATATCATTTCACTTGTACTGTTATTCCTTGATTATGAACAATTGCTTACACGTGAGTAACCTATGACGTTATAAACTGTGGCTATGGCTTTCATTTTTCGTGAGGCGAACTGGAGTCTGGAATGTTTCATTCCTTTATCTTTCTTCTTATAAGAAAAAAAAATGAACAATTGCCAACATGTGTTTCTAAATTAAAAAACGTGCTTCCGTCCTCCTATTCTTGTTGCTGGTATTTGATATACCCTTTGTAAGTGCTCTGTCGTGTGCTCTGCATTTTTTTTATATATTTTTGTAGCTTCATTGAACCTCCACGCAATTTATTTCCCCAACCCCAAGTATGCCAAGAGGACTGGTGTCTTCTATCGTCCTGTTCGTTTGGCTTATAAGCCGTACTTTTTCAACCAATGAACAGTATTTTTTTCTCACAACAAATCAGTCAACAATACTTTCAGTCATAGCTTATCAGCCAAACGAGCAGCACATATAATTTGTACACAAGGGTGGGGGCTTCTGGGTTCGAGCTTCGGATTCATGTAGTGCCTGCAATCTAATTTGTTTTCTGAACTTCATGGTTTCATTCGGTAAAAGAGCCAGAGGCCTTTGGTCTGAAAAAAGATCGTTCCCTTTCATATTTTTTATTTCTTTTTGTATCTTTATATTATCATTATAGTATGCATTAGATATATCATATATAATGTATCATGTACGGATATAACATGGATGGACGACCCCGACCTGCTCCTCGGCTTCCTCGTCTCCCCGGCGACGGAACCCACCCTCACCAGATCCGCTCCATCCCCGACCTCCCACGGCCAGCAAACATCAGATCTGCATCCACCACCGCCTGATCTATCCAGTCATGGGTCTCAGTCCTCGGCGCACCCTAGGCTCAGCGCCCTCGAAGCAACTGTTGTAACATGGCCACCACGGGTGGCGGAGACCCGCGCAGTCCGCAGGATACGAGGGCACCTCCGGCCAGGAGGGCGAAGGCCGCCTCACCTCCAAACTAATTAAACAACGATCTTGCCTAATTGTGTGCAGGTACTCAAGCGCGGGCGCCTGGGGATCGCCATGGCCTGCGCCAGGCCCCAAGCCAGCCGGCCGGGCGGAGGCCTACGGATGATGCCTCCGACCGGACTGGCGGAGACCCGCCAGGGCGACGGCGCGCCCCTGAAGGCGGAGGCCAGCGTCGACAGCCATGGCCCCCGCGCGGCCGAGCGGAGACCCGCGGGAGATGTCTCCGACCGGCCGGCGGAGAACCGACCGGACCGGCGGAGACCCGACAGGGCGACGGCGCGCCCCTGAAGGCGGAGGCCAGCGTCGACAGCCATGGCCCCCGCGCGGCCGGGCGGAGACCCGCGGGAGATGTCTCCGACCGGCCGGTGGAGAACCGCCGAGATAGCGTGGCGCCCCTGGAGATGGAGGCCAGCACCGGGGACCCAGGCCTTTGGGCCGAAGACCGAAGGATGGTGGGCCGACTGCTCATGGAGGCCCATTACTCGGAGACGGTATGGCAGGATTGCCCCGCAAACGAGAGGCTAGCGGTGGAATATTCCAGGAATGTACTGTAGCAGTTGAGGGGCATTGTAATAAATTCTGTCATGAAGTAGTTGAGCCCTATAAATAGGGAACACTTGTAACCGTGCAGAAGGTGGTTGAAAAATGCATTAATGAAACCCTAGCTTTCCATGCCCTTTCCCTTACACGCCCAGCGATCGTTCCTGTTAACCGAGTCTCCGCCTGAGGACAGCCGTCCACGGGCGGAGGCCCCCAGTTACCTGTCTGAAACCGCAAGTTTCAACATTGGCGCAGGCCTCCGCCTGAGGACAGCCGTCCATGGGCGGAGGCCCCCAGTTACCTGTCTGAAACCGCAAGTTTCAACATTGGCGCCCACCGTGGTTGGCCAAGGCAAACCAAAGATGGCAGGGAAAAGAAAAACCACCACCAGAGCAGCAGCGACCACGAGTCAGAAAGGAAGGCCTAGGCGCACCACTCGTAGCACCTACGCAACTTCGCCAGCGGAGGTCAGTACCAGAGCAGACGCCCAGGGTCAACCACCGGAGCCCCAAGATCCAGAAATCCAAGGTCCGGAGGCCCAACCAAATCCAGGTGCAACACTCGACCAAGAAGCGCAATAGCTGCGGCGCGATTGCGAAGAGCCCAACAAGAGAGAGAGACAGAATGGCGGCGAGTTTGCGACCAATCGACAAGCTACTCAAGCATCGGCTGGCGGCGAAAATCGAGGCGGCGATTGGCGGTCCTACATGCTTGAGATCTTGAGTATCACGACATCGCGATACCGACCTCAACCTCCGCAATCCCGCCTCTCGCAAAGAACAACAACCATACCATAGGGGCCTCCGCCGATGATCAACCACCCACAATGCCATTTCGGTGTGGCGCGGAGGCCTACCGATCCCAAGTCCCCACTTTCGGAAAGTATACAACGATCGCCATGGCCAACAGCGTACAAGCCAATAACTGCGCCAAAATTCAACGGAAAAAGACAGACCCCCATCAGGTCATCATGAGTTACGAGGCGGCGGTAGCCTCCGGCTGGTGGAGACGACACCGTCCTAGCAAAGTCTTTTGTCATTCTTTGCCGAAGCGCGCGTAGCGTTAACGGTATTCCATGCTCAAACCAAGCACGGTTTATTCTTGGGAAAACCTTCGGGACAAAATATTGGCAAACTTCAAAGGACTAGCCGCTGTCACGACATCCACGGATCTGTTCCGGTGCAAGCAAATGCGGGGAGAGACACTACCGACTACTTCCGAAATTCGTGCAAGTAAAGGCGAAGGCACCAGACGTCCCAGATGAGGATCGCCATTGAAGCAACGATCAAAGGCCTCCGAATCGGGCCGTTCGCGACACACCTAGCAAGAAAGAAACCAACTTCCATACAGCGGTTGTATGACGAGTTAAGAAATCTGCGGATCGGATAATGACCTCCGGAAAAGGCTAGAGGAGCGAGGTCAAAACAGACAAAGACAAGCAGCGGTAAAAACTCCCGGAAGAGCTACCCGAACGAGCGCATCAAATCGGAAAAGCGGCGGAGGCAAGTGCTCAACATTGAGGTCAACCTCAACCCGAACAAGGGCAATTGGCAATGCCAGCAGGACTAGAGACCCAAACACGGAACCAAGGTCGGCAAAGGCTACCAAGGCAAAAAGCGGGACAAAAACAAGCAAAAACAACGCAGGCCATATTATGTTTTTTCACGGCGAAAGCGCAGAGCACAAAGACACCAAACATTGTCCAGAGACAAAAGAGACACAGGAAAGAATGAAGAACAAGCGGTACCTGACCTCCGACACAATGAGAGCGCAAGAGAGTCAACACCACCTACACAATCGCAGCCACCAACAATCTCTTGCCCAATGTATCCAAACTAAACGCAAACCAAATACATCCCTCCACCTTTGGCCTCCGCCTATTACCCAAACTTCCTACCAACATGGCGTAACGCCCTCAGCAGAACATCCGGCGGGCAACTACAGGTGGGAGGCAAGCGACCTACATAAACCCAAATCCTCCCCACATAACCTACCTCAAACAAACCCACCGCCACAAAACCACAAAAAGTTCGAGCCTCCGCATAGCAACAACACATTCAACAACTGCCTCCTCCGCTTACTCACAACCAACTCCCAACACCAAAAAACAGGCCAAACCAGAAAACCAAGTCAACCCCATGGACCGCTACCAACAATAGGCATGATCGCGCCAATTGCGGAGGATCATCAATGGAGTTTCAAGCGAAAAAGCGAAAAAAGATCACCTCCTTTGGTAAACAACGTAGCAGGTCCAAGGCCCAGAAAATACATAGATTGGTCCGAGTCCCAATCACCTTCACGAAGAAGATCTCCAGCTAGAAAGCTACCCTCACCACAGACGCAATGGTAATCAAGACAAACATTGCTGCATGGGAGATAAGCGAGTTTTTGGTTGACACAGGCAGCTTTCAAACAGACATCATCTTTGCACATACCTTCGACCAAATGAAGCTCAAAGAGAGTCAACTACAGCCCTCTGAATCCCTTTGATAGGATTCGGAGGAAAGCGACTCTGAGCACTAGGAAAGATATCACTCCTGTGTTGTTTGGAAACCAAGCCAATGCTAGAACCGAGTACATAACCTTCGACGTCGTCGACTTGTACTACCCATACAATGCTATCCTGGGCAGAGGATTCACAACTAGATTCAACGCCGCCCTGCATATGGCCTACTTGTGCATGAAGATACCAGCACTCCATGGCATCATCACAATCAGAGGCAGCCAGAAAGAAGCAAGAAATATAGAAAAAGCAATCTACATAGCTCAAAGAAACATCAATGCAGTTGAGTCAGCAGACAAAGAACTAGAGCCTCTGGATATGCCCAGAGGAAAAACAGATATGGCAGGTCAAGAAGAAACAAAGGTGACCCCTCTACAAAAGGAGTTGCCAGACAGAAAAGTAATAATCAGCTCAGAATTGAGCAAAGCAGAGGAGGAAGAGCTCATGCAAACTCTGGTAAAAAACAAAGACATCTTCGCCTGGTCAGCCTCCGACCTACAAGGAGTCAGCAGGGATATCATACAGCATGAGCTGAATATCGACCAAAACATGAGACCAAGAAAGCAGAAACAGAGGAAAATGTCGGAGGACAGAATCCTAGCAACAAAGCGGAGGTGCGAGATTGCTAGATGCAAAGGTTATCGAGGGAAGTCAAGTATTCAGAATGGCTTGCAAGCGT